TCACAGTGGCTTTTGTTCTTGCTGCTGTTTTTTTGGTTTTTAGATAAGGCAAAATTCACTAACAGTTTAATTAGTTTAACACTCAGTGTACAACGAGGTTATTGTTTTGTTTTGAACCTCATTTCTCTGGGGAAGGATTTAGCAAAATTAAAAAGTGAGCAGCAGTTATCCCTTAGGCAATGGGCCTTGAGCTATTTCTCTGCGCTGGGAGGTCCTGGAAGCAGGAGGTCTAGAGAGCTGGGACCTAGTCCTCCTTAGACTCAGCGCCCTACAAATGGGAGCAGCTGTCTGAGCTGAGATCCAGTGGGCCCATCCTCTGCCTTCTTCTCACCCTGTGCACCCAGAGCAGAGCATGCCGTTGCTGTTGTCATGGTCACTCGATTGCCTTACAAGATGGGGTCAGTAGGCAGAGTGAAGAATTGTGCAGTGTTCGGCAGTAATGCCTGCTCTTGAGGGATAAAGTCTGGCCCATGAACAGTACTTGGGAAGCCTCAGGATGGCTCTCTCTGATCTGGCAGAAGTTTCTAGCTGTGACCAAATTTAGCAGGCTAAGTGTTTTCCAAGATGTCGTCTTGCTGTCAGATCTTATTAGTCCCGGTCAGTCACCAACTAGACTTCTCTGAAGACGTAGTGTATCAATCCACTGAGCCAGTGCACAGCTTCTGCCCCCCCCCCCCTTCAAGCGCAAGAATGTCGCAATATTAGGAAGGCTGAGAACCACTGCTCTAAGGGTCTAACCTGAGCTGTAGTCTTAACAAATCCCAAAGATAAACTCTGTCGGAAAATCTGCACATCCCTTGGAAGTGTGAAAAGCCTGGGCTACATGAAGATCTTCAAGTCCGAGATCAGGCTCCACTTGGAAGTCCCTCAGTCTGAGCTACCACCATCCAGTTGGGCAGCAATCAGACTAACTCTAGAAATTACAGACCCTTTGACTGGAATGGAAACACAATATTAGCAGTATGTACCCCAGAGGATGGTGAGGAGAGGGGGAGCTGCCACTCAGCAGGATCATTTCATAAAACAAACACTATTGGACATAAAGAACAGATACATACAGATACAACAGTAGGGAAATTCAACACCCTGCTCTCATCAATACATAGAGCATCTAGACAAAATATCAGCAAGCTTTAAACTGAACCAAAGACCAAACATCCTAGACACAGACACGCTCACACAAAGACTATCCCGATAGCTGCAGAATACACATTGAACTCAGCAGCCAATGAAACTTTCTCCAAAATAGTTTATATCAGACCCTAAAGCAAATCTTAACAAATAAAAAAATATTGAATAACTTCTTATACTTCATCAGATCGTGTTGGGATAAAACCAGAAATCAACTATAAGAGAAAATAAACTAATATATGAAACTTAAATAATATACTATTGAATGATTAGTGGTTCACTGAAGAAAGGGGAGGATTAAAAACTTCCCAGTATCAAATGAAAATTCAAAACCACTTATATGAGTGTGTGGCTACAGCAAAAGCAGTTCTAGGAAAGAAACTTACGTAGTAATGAGTTAAAGAGACAGTAAGTGAATAACTTCATGATGCTATCTCAAGGCTGTGAAAACAAGAATAAGCCAAACCTAACACCCACAGAAAGAAATACTAAGTTCCGATCTCAAATTAATGAACTGGGAAAAGAGAAAATCATGAAGGATTAAAAGAAAGGGAAGGCTACCTGCTTGAAAAGATAACGTAGAAAAACAGCCTAAGTTACATAAGTAAAAGAGAAAACTGGAAATGAATACAATTAAGAAATCAAATAAAACTGATACTACTGAAATCCAAGTTTCTATGATACTTCAAGATACTATGAAATACACAGACAATTAACAAATATGTTTCAACACGGGGATGTTCCCAGCTAGGTCCTTGGGCAGTAGAGGAGAGGATGCCTGAACTGGCCTTGTCCCGTAGTCAGACTGATGACTATCTTGAATATCATGATAGAACCTTCGTCCGGGGACAGATGGAGATAGAGACAGAGACCCACATTGGAGCACTGGACTGAGCTCCCAAGGCCCAGTTGAAGAGCAGAAGAAGGGAGACCATGAGCAAGAAAGTCAGGACCACAATGGGTTGGTCCACCCACTGAGACGGTGTGACTGATCTAATGGGAGCTCGCTAAAGCCAGCTGGACTGGGACTGAACGAGCATGTGATCAAACTGGACTCTCTGAATGTGGCTGACAATGGGGGCTGAGACGCCAATGATAATGACACTGGGATTTGTCTCTACTGCTTGTACTGGCTTTTTGGGATCCTATTCTATTTGGATGCCTACCTTCCTAAGCCTGGATGGAGGGGGGAGGGCCTTGGACTTCCCACAGGGCAGGGAACCCTGCCCTCCCTTAGGACTGGAGGGGGATGGGGGGATGGGGGGAAGGGGAGGAAGCAGGAGGGAAATGGGAGGAGGGGAAGAAGTGGAAATTTTGAATGGTATTATTTATAAAGCAATCAACAACAAACTCTCTGCTTAAAAAATGTTTCAATAGATTGAAAAATATGGACTGTTCTTTTAGACACACAGTCATTGCAAGAGTCTAAGAAACTAAAGAAATCTATCATGGACAACGTGATGGAAGAAGTAGCAGCTGCCCATGAAGAAACCAGGACGAAGATGGCTTCACTGCTGCATCCCACCAGACATCTGAAGAACCTGAATACCAATGTTCCTCAAAATAGTCTGTGAAAATAAAAATGAGAGTACTTCCAAACTCAGTCCTCTGCTAAGAAAAAAACTAATAGGGAGGGAAAAAAGGAACTACAAACCAATTTCCTTCATTGCAAATCTAGATGCAAAAATCCCCAACAAAATGCTTGCAAACTCAATGCAAGAACACAGCAAAAGATCATATGCCGACTACTTAGTTTCACACTAGGAATGAAAACTGGTTCCGTATACACGAATCAGTAAGTACTGATAGCACACAGAAATGTGGACAAAGCTCATATCATCATTCCAAGCAATACTGGAAATGACCTTTGACAATATTCAACACTCCTGAAGAAACTAGTAAGATCATATATACTTCAATACCTGAAAACTGTTGCCAGTATCACACCGAATGGCGAAAACCCGAAAGCACCTCGTTTAAAATCAGGAAGGAGACACTTGTCCACTCTAGCCACGCTTGACCAAAGCAATTTTTTTGAAATCCGAGTTACAGCATGAAGGGAAATGAAAGGGATCTAACAGAAGGAACTTAAGTAACTGATTTGTAAGACATATAATATACTTAATACACCCAGAAGACCCAGAAGCTTCTTACATCTGGTAGTTTTAGCAAAGAAGCAAGAATCAAAATCAGCAAGCTTCATGAACTAGAAATCAGAAAAACTCCACCCATGACATCTTCAGAAACGTACCCGGTATGGGGGAGAGAGCACAGTTGGTAAAATGCTGGGCATGAGAGCATGAAGATCTGGATTCAGTCTCCAGAACCCATGTGAGAAAGTACGCACGTGGTAGTGTGTGCCCGCATCTCAGCACGGGGAAGAAGACTGCACTTCTGAACACCTGCCTCATCCTGCTGAATTCACACCGGGGAGACAAGGCAGACAGCACCTGAGAACTAACACCTGAAGTTTACATCCAGCCTCCCCGTGCTCACATGTATATGAACACAAGCACAAAGCTAACTGAACATGTTAAACACCTCTACAGCAAAAGTGCACAAGACACTAAAGACAGGAAAGACCTCCCATGCTCACGGCTGGGCCGAATCCATAGCACCAAGAGTGATAGACAGACTTAATGCAATTTTAATCAAAAATTTTATGACATTTTTATAGAAATATTTTTAAATCCTAAAACTCATAAAAAATGCCCCCAAATAGCTAACACAATCTTGAGTAGGAAAGGTAACGCTGGAAATAGCATTTCAGACTTCAAACTATACTATATCCTCCTAAAGGCAATGGTATGCAGTTGGGGAAGAAGTAGGAGTAAGAACGTGACCAACTAGAAAACACCATACTGAGTGAGGTAACCCAGACCCAGGAAGACAAATATGGACTCTCTCATAGGTGGCTTTTAGACATAAAACACAGGAAGGAGGAAAAGACAAGCTCTCCAGAGTAAATTGGGAGTATGGGGGTCATGAGAGGGTAAAAGGGGAGAGGGGAGGAAGAGAAGGGAGCAGAGAAAAATGTATAGTGCAATAAAAAGACTTTAAAAAGAAAAAAAATGTAATCAAAACATAGTTATAAAATCCTCAAGTTTAAAAAGCAGCATGGCGCTGGCACCAAAGCAAACACACACACTACCTTGTGGGCTTATGCTGGTGACCTTGCATTTGGAGGAAGATACACATGGACCCCAATCTAAGGCATTGTAATTCCATGAATTTGAGGAAATCGAGGGGACACTCATGAACTGGCATCGTAAGCAGGGTCCTTGTTGGTGTTCATGGCCACCATGTGCAGCGCTACAGTAGAGAAAAAGCACAGCACAAGGCTCGTGCACATGATCTGTTCTCAGAACACAGGCTCAGTTCTCAGTGACCACTGCAAATCTTAAATCACTCTGCTTAAAATCTGCTGTAGGCACCTATCCATAAGATGCAGTCGTGCACAAAATGTCTATTTAACCTGGCATTATGTGCTCACAGCATGTTGTGAAACTGTGAGCTGGAAACTTCATATTGTTCACAACACTTAACATAAGACCTAGAATTTGGGTACTGTTTCATCGTGCATGGTGAGCCATACAGACGTCAGGACCAGCTGTGTGTTTCCATTTCACTCGTTTCTTGCTAATGCAGAGAATTAAGGACTAAACACCATAACTGGGACAAAGGAGAATTCCTAAAGTCAAAGGAAATCTCACTGCCTTTGTGCTTGTTATTTTGTATTTGGAACAGTCACCAGACCTTCAGGAATCAAAACGCAGAGTATCTGAGAGAACATTTCTGGACACAGGTTTAATGAGAAAACAAGGGGCCATCCCACCAAACAGACTTATCTTCTTTGGGGTCTGAGAAAGTCTGAGGCCAGTGTATCCACCAAATGTACTGACTTCTTGTTTCTTCTTTTGAGGGGAGACTGCTGGTTGGTCTCGCCTTGAGCGGGCCTCTTCTGAGCATCTCTGTGGAACCCTAAGTAGGATGCAGGCTCCTGGTTACTGTATTGCTACCGTAGCTACTCTGTTGCCCTCCCTAAACACCACCTTACACTGTACCGTCCTTGTTTGTTCTTATTCTCAACCTGCCACACCAAAGTCATGTGGAAAGTGGGAGTCTCGGCCGAGGAGCTGAGGAACGGCCCAGATCACAGTGCTCTAACCGTGTCTGGAATGGTTATGATTGCTGACTGATGTAGGAGAACCTAGCTTATTGTGTACAGTGCCACCCAAGGGCAGATAGTCCTGGGATGTTTAGAGAAGCTGGCTGAGCAGGAGCCAGGCGGAGCAAGCCAGTGAGCTTCTCTTCCACGGTTCCATCCCCTGCTCCTGCTTTAGCTCCCATCCTGACTTCTCTATGATAGACTGCTACATGCAAAAGGAAGCTAAAACCAACCATTTCCTCCCCACGCTGCTTTTGGTTATAGTTATCTATCACAGCAACAAAAAGAAAACTACAATTACTTTATCACTTCATAATATAAAACAAAAGCCGAGTTAACATAACTCTTTAAATTTCTCTAAGATAATTCTATTAGCGTCTAAATCCTCCAACAAGGAAAAAGCAACACAAATAGAAACAAGAACCCTTCTAGAAAATGCCCTTGTAGAAGTGCATCAGAATGTATAATACAATAAATCAATCTTTTCCAAACAAATTCAAATCTGTCAATCATTCCTTCCCTTCTTCATGCTAATCAACTCATAAGTTCAATTATTTGTCCACTTATTTTACACTGACGTTTTCTAGAAGTTTCCAGCCATGGCAGTTTTGTGTTTGTTCTTGCTGTTGTCTTGGAAAGAAGACCCATGGAAAGAAATTTATTTGTTGAGTATATTTTGCCTGCAGGTGCACACAGGTTTCCTCCTTTGAGTACCAGAACACTGGAATGATTCCTCCACAGAACCAAAAATGCTTCTGTGAAGGAATTCTGAATCATTCACTCCTTTCTGACTATTGTTAGCCTGAACCAATGTGCAACCCGAAGCCCTAAAAATCTGGCAGGTCCTAGGTGCAGTGAGACAGTTCGCAGTGACCATGGACTCTGGGCCAACACAGAGAATGAAAAAGCCCCAGTAGAAACCTTCCACAATGTGACAGGACTGGTCCTCCGTCGGCCGAGGCAAACAACACTCGCAGTCTATAGTTGAGTAAGTTGTTTACAGCTCTGGGCTAGGTGGTGTCTAAGTTTCACTCCTCTCAGCTCTTCTCCCTCCTGATAATGTATCAGATCCAGTGTGCTGCCACTATTCCCGTGCCCTTACAGATTCCGTACTCATCACCAGGACGCTGACACACAGCCTTCTAGCAGCGACACCTAACTAGACATGATCTGGAGAACACGAAAGACTACCCCAAAAGGCCATTAGCTCTATGGATCGGTTTTGAAATCTCAGCATAAAAATGTTCCCCTACATTTTCTGAACGTCCTCATTTTTAAGTATGGTCACGTCTTCAAGTCGCAGGGGGATGATAAGCCCTGTGCTGAAACTGTAGGTGGCCTGCCTTTCTCATATGGCAGGGTGGACGACAGCAGGGATCCGCGCCATAGAGGCGGTTCTAGTCAAGCCAGAGAAACCCTAGACCCTAAAGTCCCACCACGGAAGAGATGACTCAGTTAAAGGAGTTTGCAGACAAGCCTGACGAGCTGAGCTGAGTTCCATTCCCAAAATCAAAATGATAGAGGACTGAGTGCAACCCGCTGACCCTCACACGCATGCCGTCACACAACAGCCCTCTGACCCTACCCGCTGACCCTCACACGCATGCTGTCACACAACAGCCCTTCCCTAGTGTAATTCTACTTTATACAAGTGTGGATCCAGCATGCAGCAGCTATATACTGGATAATATCATCTTAACTGCTGTAGAAGAGATGATCAACACAACTGGAGGAGACAGCCAAGCTCCATGCTACACAGTTTAGAGATGGGACTGTAAGTCACAGGAAGACTCTGAATTGCGCCCGCCAAAAACTACTCTAGTGTGAAGTCTGGTGGACAGTTTCATGTATACATTGGACAATGTATTTTTTTTTTGTTTTTTTCCAGACAGGGTTTCTCCGTGTAACAGCATATGTTTTATGTTTAGATTATGGGAAATACATCTGAGAATGAAATTAACACAGAACCAGTTGACAAAATGACAAGAAAGAAAACTATTACTCAATTAAACCAGAATGTGATATTCTGGGAATCCAGTAAGGTATTGCAACAACAGAAAGAAGTATCTTTTATATAAAACACATCACATGTTTAACAATGAATCCTACAGTCTGCGAGCTGGCGGTAACAGAACAGTAAACTCACATATATTGGAGAAACTTTGTGTCTTGGAAGCAGCGGCCTAAGGAAGCGCACTGGTGCTCAGCGAGGCGCGAGCTGCAGCTGAAGGTGCTCTCGCACGCTTTACACTTGTAGGGCTTCTCTCCGCTGTGGATTCTTTGGTGCCGGTTAAAGCTTGACCTCTGGGTGAACGCCTTGCCACAGTCTTTACAACAGAAGGGCTTGTCCCCAGTATGAACCCTCTGGTGCTGCGTTAGGCTCGATCTTTGATTAAACGCTCTGCCACAGTCTTGGCAGTGGTACGGTTTCTCTCCTGTGTGAATTCTCTGGTGTTGGATCAGAAGGAGGTTGCGGCTGAAGGCTTTGTCACAATCTTGGCACTTGTAGGGCTTCTCTCCGGTGTGGATTCTCTGGTGCCGAGTAAAGCTTGACCTCTGAGTAAAAGCCTTCCCACAGTGCTTACAATGGTAGGGCTTGTCCCCCGTATGAACTCTCTGGTGCTGGGTGAGGCTCGAGCGCTGTTTAAAAGCTTTGCCACAGTCCTTACAGTGGTAAGCCTTCTCGCCAGTATGGATTTTCTGGTGTTGAGTGAGGAAAAACACACGGTTAAAGGCTTTGCCACATTCGTTACATTTATTGGGTTTCTCGCCAGTGTGACCTCTCTGGTGCAGGCTGAGGCTTGATCGTTGATTAAAAGCTTTGCCACAGTCTTTACAAGAATAGGGTTTCTCTCCAGTATGAATTCTCTGGTGTTGAGTAAGGCTTGATTTTTTATTAAAAGCTTTGCCACAATCTTTGCAATGGTAGGGCTTCTCGCCAGTATGAATCCTCTGGTGCTGAGTAAGGAGAGAATTACGGTTGAAGGCTTTGCCGCATTCTTTGCATTTGTAGGGCTTCTCTCCAGTGTGAACTCTCTGGTGTAGGCTCAGGCTTGACCTTTGGTGAAACGCTTTGCCACAGTCTTTACAATGGTAGGGCCTCTCTCCAGTATGAATCCTCTGGTGCTGAGTAACAGTTGATCTCTGATTAAATGCTTTGCCACAAAATTTACAGCAGTAGGGCTTCTTCCCGGCATGGATGCTCTGGTGTTGCGTAAGCAGTGACTTGTGGTAGAAAGCTTTGCCACATTCTTTACATTTGTGATGTTTGACACCAGAATGAATCCTATGATGCTGTCTGAGGCTGGAACAATAGGTAAAGGCTTTGCCGCATTCCTTACATTTGTAGGGTTTTTCTCCGGAATGACTTCTCGGAAGGCTGGAACTTTTACTGAAAGCTGTGTTGCAATCCATCCCCTTGGAAATCTGGTCTTGAATATGGATATACTGGTGGATGATGAGTTCTGAGTATTGATGAAAGACGGTGTCGCATCTGTAGCATTTGTAAGAGTCCTTTGGGAAATGAGCAGACTGCTGATCCGCAGGATCTGCCTCATGGCTTACGTCACTGCCATCTTCATTGCACTGATACACCGCCTCTCCAATAAACGCGCCCTGGTGATTATTTAAGGCAGACGCCTCAGTAAAGGCCTTCCTATTTTCTTTACATATATACTGGATTTCTAAAATATCTGTACTTGAATTTTGATTAGGTGATACTGGATGTGTAAAGAATCCGCCGTATTTATGGAAATTCTGCGTTTTGACACATGAAAGACCTATTTGTGGATTATATATTAAGGAATTTTTCATCATGGAGTTCTCAAATTGATTACATTTAGAATTTTTTTCTTCATTTTTAAGTTCCCCATCTACAAAAAGGTTTGAATGAAAGCTTAACCCAAAGCTACACTTGAAACTGCTGAAGTCAGTAACTGAAGAATGGGCTAGACCCCTCTCTGTCCGTCCCAAACCATCTTTGAAAGGAGGGATACAGTTCAAACACTGACTCTGATGGTTACTGACGGAAGCACACGGCTGTTCACAAGTAACAGGCAGAGCCTGAGGGTTTTCTTGAGCCATTTCAGGTTCTTGCTGCCTACTGGGAGCAAAGCTTCTCCCACCATCAGTTATTACACACGGGTTATACCCATTATAATACGTCTTCGGAACTGCATGCCCCTCTAGACGGTCCCTTTCTTCTCTGGAGCACAAATTGTCAATGTCACCGTTTCTATGGCTTCCATTGATCAGTTCCTGGAATGAATACTTTATGTTCTGCTCTGGTGAAAAGTGTGGGTTATAATGAGGAAACACACCTGAAAGAAATCAAGACAAAAAAATTATTTCACTCATTAGACTCTGATGAATACAATTTACATATCTAACATCTAAAATCATGCTAAATTTAGCACAACAGCAAACAGCAGAATGGAAAAATCTATGGCCTTCATTGCTTTACTGATACTGAACACAATGACTCTGGAAGAAAATAAACACTCCTTTTTCTTCATAAATACTGAATTTTTCTTTTGTAAATGAAAAGCTCATAGAGATGTGTTACCCAACAATTTGGATTTAACAGTATAAAATAGAATAAGAAAATCTTTCAGATAATAAATTTAATTTTATGTGTTTTGATCATGGTAAAAAGCTAAGAAAGAAATGAAACTTAAACTTCTCAAAAGCTACCGTAAACAAACTGTCTCTCTTAGACATGAAAGCAGATTTGTCAAGACAGGTGATACAGTAAGGTAACTGTCAAGAATATTCACTGAGCCAGGATGAAATGACCAAGGAGCACAACCCAGTCAGAAAACATCCCTGCCATAAGCAATAGGGGCACTATTTAGCCAGGCAAATAAAAACCCACACAATTTTATTGGTAATAGACACATACATAACTCAGTCTTATTTTAATTTCACCTTACACTGTCCTGCAATATACAGTATTTATAATAGAATTTAATAATAAAATACAGGTAAAGCTGCTAACATAACTCAGTCTTATTTTAATTTCACCTTACACTGTCCTGCAATATACAGTATTTATAATAGAATTTAATAATAAAATACAGGTAAAGTTGCTAATATTAAGGAATATAAAGGAACCTACTGTAAAGACAGAAAATACAGAAAAAAAAAAAGAAGGAAAAAAGAACCATTGTACCATAAAATCCTAAACCATCAGGTGATAATTCAAAGTTTCTTTATAGCAAACAAGTTCTCAGTTTTGTCTATATACCTGTAAATCATTAGCAGTCAGTGTTTGGTAGAAAAAAAATCATAGAAAATCCATTAAAATGTTAATAAACAGCTCTGAGAAAATTGAAAAAACAAATATATAAACAATGTTAATAGAAAACTTCTTTAGCATATTAATATAATATACTATATTGACCAAGAGGTCCTGAAAAAGTCGACAAATTTTCTGAGGCTACCAAACATTATGTAATAACTGTCACATTATACAGCTCCTCATAGGAAAGGGGAGGATTTCAGCCACCACTGTGAATATGGAGACCACTGCAGGAGGACTAGGCTGGAGGAGCACTGTGAATGTGGAGGAGATCACTGCAGGAGGACTAGGCTGGAGGAGCACTGTGAATGTGGAGGAGATCACTGCAGGACTAGGGTTGGAGGAGCACTGTGAATGTGGAGGAGATCACTGCAAGAGGACTAGGCTGGAGGAGCACTGTGAATGTGGAGGAGATCACTGCAGGACTAGGGTTGGAGGAGCACTGTGAATGTGGAGATCACTGCAGGAGGACTAGGCTGGAGGAGCACTGTGAATGTGGAGGAGATCACTGCAGGAGGACTAGGCTGGAGGAGCACTGTGAATGTGGAGATCACTGCAGGAGGACTAGGCTGGAGGAGCACTGTGAATGTGGAGATCACTGCAGGAGGACTAGGCTGGAGGAGCACTGTGAATGTGGAGAACACTGCAGGAGGACTAGGCTGGAGGAGCACTATGAATGTGGAGATCACTGCAGGAGGACTAGGCTGGACAAGCACTGTGAATGTGAGGAGATCACTGCAGGAGGACTAGGCTGGAGGAGCACTGTGAATGTGGAGATCACTGCAGGAGGACTAGGCTGGAGGAGCACTGTGAATGTGGAGCTCACTGCAGGAGGACTAGGCTGGAGGAGCACTGTGAATGTGGAGATCACTGCAGGAGGACTAGGCTGGAGGAGCACTGTGAATGTGGAGGAGATCACTGCAGAACTAGGGTTGGAGGATATAAAGGATGGTGAACACAGCAGGAAGTGCCCTTCGGTGACAATGGGAGGACAAACAGAGCTGCACTTTGGAAAGCCAATGCCACTGGAACAGACTTCATAACACATCTTTCAGGCCTGCTTCCTCAAATCCTGGATCCCGCATTTTTGGGCTCTGCTTCAGTCACTCCTACTGACCTGGGAACAAGAGCATGGTCTTTTGCCTCTTTATATTCCAGGGCTCTTTCCTTTGCTCCAGACAGGTAACCAGGTATGGCTTAGACACAGCAAGACCTGGTTAGTAGAAAACAGAACATGACACTTATTTGATTCTTCATAACTACTAACATATCTGGCCTAGAATTAGGTTCAGTATGAAAAAGATACATAAAAGATATATAATATTACTCTATAACATCATTTTCCAAATGTTATTTCCCTACAGATATACAGTAACACATTTACAATTTAAAGATTCTTAGCTCCATTTTTGTCTACTACCCAATCACAGGTAAAGGGGAATAATTGAACTTTAAGATGTAAATTGTAACAGTTTATGCCACTTGGCTGCTATAATTACCACTAATTTTAATTTGGGATATATATTACCTGAAGAGAGATGGAAAGGATAAAGATTTTAAAATATGAATATTATCTATTTCAATTTCTTCACCTCCCCCCATTTCTCTCCTGAAATCATAGGCTCCCAAGATATACTCAGCAATGCAGGGAAACTAAATGCAATGCTGAATTCGAAACTCTGCAGAGTGAGCCTCACCCAAGAAGACCAGGTTCCGATAGTTTTCCAGCATCACGTCCTTATACAGAGTCTGCTGTTCGGAGTTCAGGCATTCCCATTCCTCTCCAGAAAAATCGATGGCCACATCCTTGAAGGTCAACGGTTCCTAAAATAAAAACAGGCAGCACAATGACCATGTGGCCATTGACCCCATTCTTGAATTTGACCCAGGATAAAGGAGTTAGGGAGAATTACCCTTCACACAGGGGAGCGGTCTTAACGGAGACATTTCGCCCCAGTGGCATTTCTATTGTATCACCTAACTCTCGAGTAAAGACGATATAAAGTCCACAGAAGCAGGGTAGATTCTATGCTTTTATGAAAAATTAAATGTAATGGCATCAATATAAGTATTTACATTTTAAAGTTATTTTAATATAAGATCATGTATGTCTATTTTCAGGTGAAAAGAACATGCTTATGACTTTTTGAAACACTGCTACCTCTTTTGGGGGTGGGGGTGGTAGCTCAGACCTAGGACTTTACACAAGCTAGGAAACTGATCTATAACTAAGCTCCATCCCAGCCAAGTATACACCTACCCATCCTTGAAAAACTGAAACAAAAATTAAACAACATTACCTTTGCAAAGTATGGTACTATGTTATAATATTTTAATTGAATTCTATAAGTAAATTAATCATAATTGATTTTGCCTCCAATATAAAAAATATTGATGACCAGCAAGATGACTCAAGCAGGTAAAGGTGCCTGCTACCAATCCTACCAATTTGAGTTCAATACCAGGGACACACACTGTAGAAAGGACTGACTCCTACACGATATCCTCTGACCATCACATGTGTGTTGTGGTATGTACATGCTCCACATACATACACAGGTAATTACATACAAAGGTAATACAAACCTTTGAGAAAAGGTGCTGAGTTAGAAAAGCAATGTAATGGTTAGGCACTGCTTCTTCCACTTTTACTTGCTACAATACTTAACAAACTCACTAACAGGCCTACCTTCTCTCAAGCACTTCGGAATGGGCAATGTGACAATTCCCTGAGACACGTTCCCAATAGGATAGCTCGTGCTCAAATCTCCACACAGATCCCTGGAGTCTAAGGCAGAGTCCAACCCTGCAGTCCTGGGGATTGTTTCTACTCTTTACCACAAACCTGCCTTTCATCTGCTTCAAAACTGCGCTCTGAAGCCAGCGGTTCTGCAACCTACATTCTTGTGGCTCCTTTTTTATGTTAACAGTATATTAGTATGTGTTAAAGACATCTCTTCTCAGCACTGAGTTGGTGTCTTTATTCCACCTTTTGGATAATATTTACTCATGAAAAGGTGACCATTACAACTGAGGGAAGATTCCCAAGGTGTAAATGTAGCTCAATATCTGTGATCAAGTCTACAGCGTTTTTAAAAATCAGTAATTATTAACGTTCTGCAGCAAACTTGGGTGTTGGAATATCCTTCTTTCTTTTTTTTAATATTTATTTATTATGTATACAATATTCTGTCTGCGTGTTTGCCTGAAAGCCAGAAGAGGGCACCAGGCCTCATTACAGATGGTTGTGAGCAACCATGTGGTTTCTGGGAATTGAACTCAGGACCTTTGGAAGAGCAGGCAATGCTCTTGACCACTGAACCATCTCTCCAGCCCGAATATCCTTATTTCTAAACTTAAAATAAATACACAATTTACAACGTTGTAAAGATAGCGCAAAATGTGTAAATACTGTCAGGTCCAAAGCTTTCCTTCCCCCAAAGTGGCAGTGCTGGTGACGCGTCCTAAACAGGACTTTGGCCAGGTAAACAGAAGGACTGTTAGTGGACAGACAGAAGGACTGTTAGTGGACAGACAGAAGGACTGTTAGTGGTGGACACACAGAAGGACTGTTCATGGTGGACAGACAGAAGGACTGTTCGTGGGCAGACAGAAGGACTGTTAGTGGTGGACAGACAGAAAAACTGTTCGTGGGCAGACAGAAGGACTGTTAGTAGTGGACAGACAGAAGGACTGTTAGTGGTGGACAGACAGAAGGACTGTTAGTGGTGGACAGACAGAAGGAGTGTTAGTGGTGGACAGACAGAAGGACTGTTAGTGGTGGGCAGACAGAAGGACTGTTAGTGGTGGACAGACAGAAGGACTGTTAGTGGTGGCTCTCGAGTTGAGTTACGGCATCTCTCCAGCCCCAAGAACGCTCTTTTAAAAGCTTCCTCCAAAGTCTCTGTGTCTGGGGTCCAGCTGGCCACCTGACTCTATGACAGAGAAGGAAAGCAAAGAGAAACAGTCCCGAAAAGGGAAAGACGCTATGTGCTTTAGAACACTAGAGTGAACTACGCCCACTAAGGGTTACCGCTGCTCACCTCACCCCGTTCTTGGTTTTACTGAACTTTCTGAACACTCCCTTCTCTTCTATCTCTGAGACTTTCGCTGAAGTACAAACTTCATCTCAAGATTTATAAGACCATTGTGCAAATTTCCCGTATCTCAGGATTTTTAAGTTTGGTTGGTGTATTTTTTTAAGATCTGTAATAAAAAGTTAGCTTAAAACTTGTAACAGAAAGGGCTCATAGGGAAAAAAATCTATACATCGGTAATCTCAACTTGCTAAAACACATTTCTATGGAACTTGGATTCGACACTTGTTTAGAAAAATAGATGTTTATAAAAAGCAAAAAAAAGTGTGTGCCTGATGGCTCACTTTGGAATAAATAGCCACCAAGAGACTGGCAGGCATGGGATCTTGGTTAAGGTGACCATGTAATACAAACCAACTAAGGCAGCACCCACAAAATTCTGTGTGCTACTGAGCCCCTGCTTGTCACTGTACTAGCTGAGATTAAAAATGCAGCACCAGGCCTCCGAGATGTTTAGGGTCAGGATGGATTTTTGCATGGAGATTGTTTTGTTTTGAGGGTAAAATATAACGGATGAGAACAAGAGCAGGAATGCGGCTCCTGGAAGAGGACTTAAACCATGTTTGATGATTGGGAGTTATGAATTCCTAAGATTACAAGGTCAACTCAGGTTAATAGAAACCGACTTAAAGATGTATGTCTAACTACTTATGTCTTTGCAAGCTGTGTTCGACACCAGGCTTCTAAAAACTTTTTTTTTTTTTTAGATAAGGAACATGTTTGATGAATAAGGTTCATTAATTCCTAAGGTCCATTCAGGCTAGCAAAAACTAACCTGAAGATGTATGTCAGCCTCTTTGTCTTTGTTAAGTTTTTAAAGCTTTAGCTTTACTTGGATAAACTGGCTCATACAAGAAATTATGACATTCTACAAAGGTATACTAAGGAAGGACCAGGGGACTGGAGAGATGGCTCAGTGGTTAAGAGCACTAGCTGCTCTTCCAGAGGACCTGAGCTCAATTCCCAGCAATCACAAGGTCACTCAAAACCATCTGTAATAAGATTTGGCACCCTCTCCTGACCAGCAGGCATACATGTAGACAGAACACTATATACATAATAAATAAATAGAAAAGAGAGAGAGAGAGAGAGAGAGAGAGAGAGAGAGAGAGAAAGGACCAGGAAAGCAAGGTTCCCAGTCTCTGTGAACTATACTTATGGTTTAAAGTTTTATCTTGATGCTAAAGGATCTTCGATTAAATCTCCAATTGTAATTTTTCAGGCTCAAACTTAACAGGAATAAAACTGAAAATCCTAATCTTATAAAAGCCAAGAACTTGTAAACTGTTAAAGATAATTAAGCCATGCAAGTTACGGTCAGTTACCGCATAAATGATTAGTCTTTTAAGGGGCTCAGAACATAACTTATGCTGAGTACAAATGTAATTCATTTACAGGGACAACCTTTAGTCTACCGAACATGTTGTCAAGATTGAGCTTAAAACAAGTAAAGCTTGTTTTAAAAAAAAAAATCAGGTATACTTAACAAATTCAATGATAGCCATCAAATTTCTGAGAGAGATCTGCTGAAAAACATTTGAGGTATTTAGTAAAAAAAAAAAAAAAAAAAAAAAAAAAAAAAAAAAAGCTTCCTGTGACAGGCAGAAACGGCAGCTGCAGCTCCTGACAGCCCTCACGTCTTCTTTGAGAAATGGGGCAATGTCCCATTTCTCCCCTGGACTGTGGCTCAACTATGTTCATCAGGCGCATTTCTGCCCTTCAGTTTGCCATTAGCCAGAACCCTGCCAAAACCATGGAAAAGTGGGACTCTGAAAAAAATCTGCCTTTCCTGCCCTTGCCAAGGCAGGTCAGTTCCCCAAGTACCTCCTCTTGAGAAAAGTTTCTTGGATCTTTCTGGGCCTGTGGCCAAAGACCGATGATGCCCAAAGACCTCTGTCCCCCCAAAAAGCCACCGAGATTACCAAGAAGGAGCCCAGGCAGCCCATCCAGATAGAGGGTAAGTCTTGGTCATTCTTAACTGATACAGAGGCCATTTGGTCTATAATTCCTACTCAGATTTATTCTTCTCAGTTCTATGACGGGGTCAGACAGTTTAGCTGACCTCAGCCAGCCCCTCCCAGTAGGCTACAGCTGCCAGATCCGTCCAATCAGAGCTAGAAAGTCTGTTTCACCTTGGGAACATCTTGGTTTTACAATAACTTGGAGTACAAAAGTTATACGCATTACTTGCTGATGGTACAAATTTTAAAAACTCTAAATAAATAAAAAAGGTTTTTCGGGCTGAGGCCCGATCAGGATCAGGCGTTGCTTCTCTTAGGGTCCCCTGCTGAGAAAGGCAGACTTGCAGACAGCTTTGCCTTGCTGACAGGCTTCATGCTGACAAAGGTAAACGCAGAAAACAGACTTACATGTTTTTAAAAAGATGCTTTTTACTATTCCTTTATTTAAAGAACTTGCTTTTCAATGACTGCTCTCAGTAATCAACCACCTCAGTGGCCCTTGCTGCCACAACTGACAACCTAAGCTTGGCCCCTTGAACTGACATTATGGAAGGACAGAATCCAGCCCTCCCTGCAAGTCGTCCTCTGACCTCACAGGAGCACCAGGGCTGGCAAGGACCTGGCCCGCTCTGAAGATTAAACAAATGAAAAAGAAGTGATAATAATAGAACAACGAAGCAAGAAAACGCCCAGGAGCCCTACCATGTCCATCTCCAGAAGTAATGGCAAAGGACCGGGAAGAGGAGACCCCTTCATCTCCAGGACTGGTTTACAGAACACACTTCCCAGGATTACTTGGCAGCCTAGATTCATTCTAACACACTTGCACCAAAGATTTAATTAAGCAAACAGAAGACCTCCCACATCCTAAGCACAGAATACTACCAAAAAGCTGAAATAGCTGAACTGCCCATCAGACGAGCCTCTTCCGAGGCTCAAGACATCTAGCGGCTCCCAGTACCATCTATGCACAAACCTCAGCTGCTAAGATGACGGAGCCCAGACACTGATATACACTGGATGCTCTCAGACACCAGAGACACGGCAGATGCTGTCAGGCATCTCTGAAACCGGGGCAACAAAAGGGGCAGAGAACGAGATGAGGGCAGGCAGACCCATTACTATGTAAAATCCCCAAAGGGGAAGCTCAACGCCAAAGCATTCTGACTGGGTTCCTATGTCTAAGGAAGACAAAAGGAAAGGCATTACGATTTTTAAAATAAAGCGTCCGTTGATTTTATATGAACTATCCCCAGAGGAAACCCTTTAAAAAGTGTCACCCGGTATGTGGAGAAAAAAATAAATCAAAACCAATCAACCAAAACCTATGCCTACTTGAAATGCAGCATGGGAAATAGGTGTTAATATTGCTATTATTTTTTAAGTCAGCAGTTGGAAATAGAGTCGGGAGATGCAAATTCAGGAATCTTCCGCCACCCATGAGAGAAGCGAGGTTGGGAGAAGAGGAGGCGTCTGGATGTGAGGTTCTGCTTCGCGTGTATTTGGAACGCACGGGAGGAGGGACCGGCCACCACACAGAACACAGCTCCTTCCACTGCGGGAAACCCATACCGAGGCTGGCACATACCCTAACCCCAGCGATCCTGGTCATCGCCACCCAGTTCGGGCTGCTGGACCGGAGCGCTGAGGACTCCAGCGGGGAGCCAGCCGCCCTCCAGGGAGTCACCCGTCAGAGCGGCCTTCGCCCCCAGCCCAGCAAGGGGAGCCCACCGCCCAGCAGCTCGGGGGCGCGGCAGGACACAGGGGCCTCCAGCACACCCACGGGGGACTCGACCCCGCCACCCCCAGAGCCGTCCGAGGAGGGCGGGGCCGCCATAGCGTCCCTCCGGGAGCCGGGTCCCTCAGCTCGCCGCGCCACGCACACACACGGCAGCTGGCTCTCCGTGCCCTCCGTCCTCCCTCCCCGACGGGCGACCGCAACCGGTTCCCACCGGCTCCACACAGCCTCCCTCCGGTGTCGGGGAGCCACGCACACTCACCATTGTGGCCCGGCGTCTGCGGCGCCCGAGTCCTCCCGTGATGGCCCGGCACCAGCCAGACGCAGAGCAAACGGATGCGGCGGGGCCGAGCGAGCGTCCACACCGGAAGAGACCCAGCCTGAGCAGGATTCCAAGATCCTGGACTTCAGAAACAAAACGTGAAAGCCCGCCCCCGCCACCCTTTCTGAACGTCTGATTGGAAGGTCTGACTATCGGGATGCCACTGATTGGATGACTTTCAGGTCCCGCCCCATTAAGCCCCAGCACTACCCTAGGAAGCTGGAATGACAAATCGTAGTAAAGCTGACCCTAAAAGGGGACATTTGTATTTAATCTTGTATATAAGAGCATACCGATTTATGAATCGTATGTATGTATATTATTCTCAATAGAAAAGAACTTTGTGGCAATTTTTTTTCTGAATTCTGTTCCCGAATTCTAAATTTTAAAATGGGAAGCAATCCCCTGAATCAGCAATATTCAATATTAAAAGGGGGAGTAACACTCAGTATATCCAAAATGTTATCATTATGCGGAATTGCTGCTACTGATATATATATGCATATGTACATATACACATGTATTATTACTGATGTATATATACACATTACAAGAAATACTGGGTATATATACAAAAAATACTGTGCATACACACACACATAAATTTTGGTTACTGTACTAAATTGTCAAGATTCATCAAGTCTTCAGCAGGTTTCAGTTAAGGCCGGTCACATTCCTCCTCTGAGGCAAGGGGCCTGAGAATTTCTCCCATTTATGTCAGAGGTGAAGAAATACAATTTCCTGCCAATATTTCTCTTAGGCCCAGGGCATGGGAGTAACAGGGTCCTCAAAGAGAGCAGGGGCTCCAACCAAGAGGGGTCCACAGGTGGGGATGGGAGGGAAGCCCGTGTTTCCTGACCCTTTTACGGACTTGCTCTCTGTAGCTCAAATGTATTAAAGCCAAAACTCGTTTTGTTTTGTTTTCAGTTTGGCCTTGGACCTGACTGACAAGCTGTGGACATCTGTGTTCTCCTGTGATGTGGAGTGCTGTGTAGATTTAAGAAGCCAACCATATGCACAAATGACTGTATGTGAATGAATGAATCTTGTATAATTCAACACCATCTACCAAGAGATCCAACTTTAATTAGTGGGAAGGGAAATTAATGCGTTCATAGCAGCTACCATTTGCCACGTAATTTACAATTAAAATACCATTAAGTCATGGCATCGTGCCTATAAGGGCACATTACTTTTCTGCCCCACTCCAAAACTTATTTGTTGGTGATTGGGTTGCCCTGCAATAGAGGTTCAGCCGGGCCACTTCTGGTGCATCTGGTAAGTGAGCGGTTGTCAAGATGGCACAGCCACAGAAGGGTGAGCTGGCTATCAGCCAAGGCATCTTTACCAACACCTCATGATAGCTCATCATTCCAGCAGGCTGAGGTGTCTTGAAAGAAAGATGAAAAGCATTCGGGACCATTCCAGTCCAGGTGTCGGAGTAATGCACTTCAATAGACACAAGGTTATGTGAGCTATGGCCCAAGGAGGCCAACTCAGCTGCGAAGCACAGAAGCAGACACCACCGTCTGATGGGAGCTACAGAAAAAGCATGTTGCCTAGGTTGTGGCTGCAGGGAGGAGCGAAGACATGCTGACATTTCTGCATCCAGGATCAGTATGCCTCTTCTTATTAATGAGGTTCGTCTGTTCCAAGTCAAGGAGTTTACCCAAACAAGGCTGGAATCCCACAAGTCTTCCTGTCTTCCAAAGCCCAAATCCTTACTCCAGAGCATGTGATCCACCCCACCTGTGTGGTCCTCTTAGGGCTTGAATACTGACCTTGATCAAGAGAGCGGGCTTTGTGTCCAGGAACAAGATAGCCTTCATTACTAGGAATGGTCTTTTCGGCAGAATTCTTCTCCAGCTTCTGCAGAGGGCCTAAAATAATTTGGAAAAATGTTTTTCTAAAAAAAAAATGTGAGAAAAATTTGAGAAATCAAGAACCAACATACATTTTCATTTCTTATCACAAGAGAAATTTGAGGACACATATAATGTACCCCACAGGCATGAACGTTCTTTTTGCCCGGTTTTTTTTTTTGGGGGGGGGGGTATTTGTAGGAGTTTTTTTTTTCTGATGCAGGCAGGATGAGATTGCTGTGCCTGAAACAATATCTTACTATGAAAACAAGTGCCTCACAGACATGTGGAGTGTCTGCTGGAATAGATATGCTCGAATTATTTATCTTATCTTGGTTTAATTTTAGTCACTCATTTGCATCTAGAAATGTATCTTCTTCTTTTAGATTTTACAGTTTAGTGGGATATATGTTTTTAACATATGTCCTAAGGATTTCCTGAATTTCACTGGGGGTCAGCTTAAACGAGCAGCCAGCTCCCAGCACAGCCATCTCTGAGATGGTGTCATGTTTTCATGCATACCTGCTGCACTGGTAATTTCCCAGCGTGCTGACTTCCACATAGCTGTTCACGGTACCTCCACTTTGGGTAAGTTGTGGTTCAATATCTAAATATCCTGTCTTTCCCGTTGTAATAGATTCTATGAAGATTCCTTCAACATGTGCGATTTGCTGTCTGCCTTAACCAGGACTTGGTACTATGTGTGTAATTTTAAATCTGAGTAATTACTATCAGGCCACATTCATTTTTTAATTTGATAGATATATGTTAGATTTTCTGCTTTCATTATATGTCTTTTACATATTCTGTACTCTACACATGCATATAAACTCATGCATAAACACATAAATACATACTTTAAAATCTTAGATATTTCTACAGTCACACAGTATCATTTCCACTATGGTTTTTGATCTTTTGCTTTTCTCTGAAAAGTATGCTTTATATTAAGAACAGCAAGCTTCATTTAGACCTGAAATCGCATCTTTAAACAACTTAAGCTTTAAAATAAGTAAGTCTGTGCAAAATTTCATATGTCATACAGTATTCTTTTCACAAATGATTTTGCCTATATACTTATCCAAAATCAAAACTGAGATAAGATTGACTATTTGGCATCTTTTGCTGTGGCTGGCGGCAGCCCTAGCCAGCCCTGCCCTAGCCTTTTTCTGCCTGAAAATTAATGAGAATTTTTGTTTATTGTAGAATATGCCAATAGGAACCTTCTTGATTAAGAAATTATACCCCCATTTTTGCAAGAGCGGAAGCACTGTCAGCTGCTGCACCATCTCTGGCCCCATGACATCTTTTTACTACATGGTTTTATTCTCAAATCTTTTTATCAATTTCTGTTCATTCTGTTTCTTCATTTTATTCTTTAATCATTCAATCTTTGTGTTGAGTCTATCAGGAGAGCTTTTTTGTCAAATGCTGCTTTGCACATAATGAAATGATTACAGGAATTTAGACTTTATTCTCTCAAAGTGATGTGGAATATTTTTTTGATTTACATATGTTGCCCCATTGCTACACCCCAGAAATAAATACTACTTGATCATTAAGGATGATTTTTTTAAAAACTCACTACAATTTATCTGTCTGTCTATCTGTCTGTCTGTGGGTATGTATGATAAGGCACATGTGTGGATGATGTAGGTGGGTCATCTGTCAATGTGTTGCTTTCATTGGTTAATTAATAAAGAAACTGCTTGGCCTGATAGGTCAGAACATAGGTGGGTGGAGTAGACAGAACAGAATGCTGGGAAGAAGGGAAGTGAGTTCGGCGCCATAGCTCTCCTCTCCGAGGTGGATGCAGATTAGAATCTTTCCCAGTAAACTACCTCCTCGTGGTGCTACACAGATTACTAAAAATGGGTTAATCAAGATGTGAGAGTTAGCCAATAAGAGGCTAGAAATAATGGGCCAGGCAGTGTTTAAAAGAATACAGTTTCCGTGTAATTATTTCTGGGCATAAGCTAGCCAGGAGGCCGGGAGCTGGGCGGCAGGAACGCAGCCCGCAGCTCCTTCTCCATGTGGAGGTCAGTGGACAATTGTGGGTGTCAGTTCTCTACTCCCAGTGTGGGACTCAGGTTGGCAGGGTTGGCATCAAGTGCCTTTACCTGCTGCACCATCACAATAGCCCATAGCTGAAAATTCTTTTAATGTTCTGTTGTATAAACTTTACTGTGCATTTTTGTTTAGAATTTTTGTATGTGGGGTTATTAGTAATATTGCCTCTTTTTTTTCTTGTAATTGTCCTTATTTTGCTTTGAGATGAGGGCATTGTGGGTTTTTATAAAATTAGTATTAGTGTCTCTTTTTATTAACCTATTTATGTAATGTGTATGGGTGTTTGTCTGCATGTATGTTTGTGCTCCACATGCATGCCCGGTGTCCTCAGAAGCCAAAAGAGGGCATTGTGAGGTCTCAGAAACACTGAGGTGCCTACGAACATATCAAAGGGGACACTGGTCAGTTCTCCCAGCACTTCTCATCTCTACCCCTCCCAGGGGCAGGGCTTCCACTTCCCTTCCCCCAGCCAGCCAGATCCCTATACAATCCAGCCATTTTGGCTAGTCCAATCTGACGGCCCAGGCTGCCTCTCTTGGTCAGTGGCTCCTCTCTTGCTCTCCTTCCCTCTTCCTCTCCTGGTCTATCTTGCTCTCTATTTTTAAGAGTTTAAGAATGATTTGAATTAATTCTTTAAGTGTTTGGTAGAAATTGCTAGAGAAAACCTCAGACTCTGGGCTTTTCTTTGGCAGGAAAGTTCTTCTTATTCAGTCTTTTTACTGGTCTCTCATTTTCTACACCTGAGTTATGTGGCAGGGCAAAGGTTCCTCCATCTTGTCTCAGCTGGAGCCATCTTTGGTTTAACCTGAAATAACTCCCAACCCCCATTTTCAGCATGAAAAATCCCATGAGAAAGTACGAAACCCTGTTCTAGTCCCTCAGGGTCTGAATGGCCCAGGTAACTGCTTACTGTTTGGGCTTATTTTAAACTGCCTCCTTGTACCATTCCCCATGCAACTGGCAATCATGACGTAGTTTTTCTGTGATTTTGCCTTTAAAAGCTTCCTATAAGATACAGTCCAGGCTGCTCTGTAAAAAGTGTCTTACAGGTGTCCAGGCAGTCACCACAGATTAACACAGACTCTGAATTCAGACTTTGGTCGTGCTGAGTGGTCTCTACTGCATGA